GATATGTATACATGAATGCAATGCATACATGATGTTCATGATTAAAACAAAATCTTCAATGCAGTGTATACATAGGATAAGTGAATGAATACATAAAGTGTTTGATTTTTTAATATGTATACACTAGAGGGGATAACATAGCTATAAATGTATACTAATACTAAGTGAATGAATACACCATTCTTCTACCTATATACAATCACCAAGTATACAATTGAATTTTTTTAATCAAGTAACGAGCAAAAAAATATATGAAAATACATAATTTACGTTTTAAGACGGTTACGTATTGTATATAATTTTTTATGTTTTCGTTATTTTTGTTGTTTAGTGATATTGGTTATACGAGGAAAACAAAAAAAAACTATTAAAATGTCATTTATTAATTTGGGCCATTTTGTGCTTATTTTTTATTTGTCTATTAAATGTTAATTAATGTTGTGTTATTTATTGCTAATTATAACTATCAGTTGTATATATATGTCATTTCCTCCTATAATATTATTAGGGGTCTACTATATAAGTAAAACTTTCTTCACTTTTCAATTCATCAAAAGTTCAAAACATTAATTTCTTTGTTTTGATATTTTATCGTATGCACATAATTACAAAATTTTAGCTTTTGACAAAAATCGAAAGCACGGCTAGTTAAAGCAACCATTATTGTACGTGACCAAATTAAAGAGATTTCACTTGTTCATTGTAAATTTGCTTATCTATATAACTACTTGTACGCAACTAAACTAATTTATCAAATATAATTATTTTTTTGTTGTACAAGTATCGAATCACTCTATTTATCAAAAAATTAGATAAATGGTCGAATCAAAGAAATTACTCAACATTAGTTTCTCCACTATGATTTAAACTTTTATCTTCCGTGATCATTTATTTTAACTAATTTCATTGACCGTTAGGTCATATTGTAGTGTGATAGTTCTCAATTAGTTAGATCTTTATTAGTTTGCAACAACATCTTTTTGAAAGATGAGAGATCACCAAAGTTTTTGATTGCAATTTTCCTATAATTAAGGTCATTATGGATATATTATATTACATATGACATTTTAACAACTTTGGGTGAATTGACATCATTAGATTCCATGTGCCAATAGTTCCAATTCCTGTGTTGTTTAGGGACCTCCTACTCTTGTTTCTTTGAATTTTCAAAATTATTTTCGCCGTTCTCTTTCACATGAAAACTTTTATTATGTATATGATATAACTAACATTAATTATGTGAGATTTGTTAAAATAAATATACCTATTATCTAGCCATGGTTAAAATGCATAAACTTTCTATTTTATCCTCAATGACATACTTTTATAATATATTTTTTAAAACTCGGTACGTAATTAAATTACTATCCATTAATTAAAATGGAAGAAGTAATATTACAAATATGAACCTTCTTTATTAGATAGAAGTACCCCACCTATAATTACACGTTTGCTAATGATTAAATATAGCCTAGTTTGTTAATTAATTACTACTCCCTCCGTCCACTATTAATTGTCATACTTTCCATTTTTAGAGTCAAACTTTAAAAACTTTGACTAACATTTTAAAATATATTTAATCATCATATTGATATGTAAAAAATTGCAATATGTAGTACTTTTCGTATAGATTTTGAATATCTAATTTTTTGTTAAAAATCAAATTAATGTAATCTAATTTAACTTTGAAAATAAGTCAAATTGACTTTCGAAAAGCGCAACATGACAAATAAAAGTGGACGGAGGGAGTAGTACTTACTTTATAAGTAATTGAAAGTCAACTTAGTTCATCCATCGACCTCAAGTTGATAGTAGTAAGTAAAAAAACTTTTATTTGATGGAACCCGTCAAAAGTTTTCAACGATAAATATTGTTTAAAAATTGGGGGGCGGGGGGGGGGGGGGATAATAATAAGATCAAAGCACAGATAGATACAGAAATTAGTAAGTTATTTGTGAAGGTTGAAAATGTTATTTAGATGGAAATAGATATACCAACTTCTTTTTTGATTAAATATGTCATCACCATTAATTTTGTCTTAGCGGTTTCTTACAAGATGCTATCTATATGGAGTCTTGTAATTTTTTTCATAACAATTACATCTTTCACTCACACGCAATGGGATGAATCACATAGAGCCTGAATGTGTTGTCGTGACTGCTTAGACACTAGGGATCGTTTGGTACAAAGATTAATAATGCAAGGATTAGTAACGTAGGGATTAGTAATGCAGGGATTAGTGGAGTAGTGTTAGGATTAAAACTCTATAAAAAACTTTTTCTCAATTATACCCTTGAATCATTATTATGTAATTGGGTCAAGGTAGATAATTGCAGGACAATATTATTTTTTATGACCTTCTAACTAGCTAGGAGAAGAACAATTTTGTTGTCATGTTTGTTATTTTTTCACTTGAATTATTTGAGGATAAATAATTGTCATCTTAATAAATTGATCACTCATAAAATGTCAATTTTCAATTTAAAAAAGATAAACCATCCACTTTTAAATCGAAATTGATCTCTCTCTCTCTCACACACACACACACTTCAAATAGTGTATTGATTTCTATTGAAATTATTTAGTAACAAACAACTCTCTCTAAATAATTTGCAAGCTAATTTATTTAAATAAATTTACTAGTAAAATCAAGAAAAAAAACAATGATTAAAATGATTTGAGGGATATTTTTGTCTTTACATAGACTTATCTCATGGTATTATATCCTATGTATTACTAATACATCTTCTAATACCATGTAGGGTGGATTAGTTATACATAGACCCAAATTCTTACCAAATATAGTACTAAATAATACCATACATAATACATGGACTATTTCTCATAATACTCCCTACCAAACGGAGACTACTTCCCTTTTGATCATTTATGAACTTATCATATTTTAAAAAAATAAGTGTCTTAAATGCCCTAAACCTATTTTAAACACATATATATGGCTTCTCTGACCCTTTTTTCATTCTCATCTCAAATATGTCTTGTGTCCACACTTATGATCGATGTCAACTGAAATAGCCATATAATAGACCGATCTCAGACACAAGCATAATGTGTATTTGACATGATCTTTCTTTCTTTCGTCACATATCACTAACATTACTCTTCCAGGTCGTATTTTTGGATTCATACTAAAGTAGTATATACTAATGATATTGTCAAGTCAAGGTCGTCTCAGACAGAAGTGAAGTGGGGTCTATTCAATCACTTGCCTTCCAATTTGCGGTAATGCAGTATGAAATGCATTTTAGGGTGTGCCATTAGAGTGTATGTCGATTTTTGTTTCTCTACATTGTACTGATCTTAGTCCAAGTAAATCATTACTTTACTAGACTTCTAGAGGAGACCTCACATCTAGCTACAGGTATTATATCTTTGATCATTTTTTGTTGGATCTCATCCTAGTCCTTTACTAGAGTGACATTTACTCGAAGGTGCTAAGAAGTTTAAGCAAATTCTATATTTTTGAGATCGATGATGTGATGAGACAAGTCTCAATGAGAACGTTGAGTCTTACATTCACAGAGTAGGAGAAAGGCAAACAATATCACTAATAAGTTGGGATGTTACATTATCTCACTAGTGACCATGCTCTTGCTCAAAGTTGTGTACACAAATATTGCCTTCTCTCCCTCCTACTCTTACTGTATCTTCTCCTCTGATCAAATCCCATATTATTCTCATCACAAAAAAATAAAAAAATAATCAGTAATCTGAACACTATATGGCCAAACAAAACATTGTTTCATTTGTCTAAAGCATATCACTTTGCATAATTGAGAATAACACTGCTGCTTACAGAGGAAATATTTTTTCGATAACTAGTTTCAAAAACATCTAGCTCACTTAATTCTATGTTGTCATTTCAAATTATTCTACATGGATTTCTTCTCTGGGCTTCCATGGGTTTCTTGATCCCTATTGGGATTCTTGTAATAAGAATGACAAATAGATGTGAAGAATGTGGAACAAGGCTAAAGATTATTCATGAGGTAACTAATTTATCCCCTTTTTTTAAACTTTTGTTTCACTATGAATGTAGAAAGGGTCAGAAATTCTTTTCTTTATCATGACAAGTAGTATCTCAACAGTTGCCATAGTTATTACTCCTCCCGTACTTTGTTATGTGGCGTTGTTTTCTTACAAGTCCGTTCTCAATAATATTGACACATTTTTACATTTGAACTTTAAACTTTCGATTTTACCTTTAATGACATCAGTAGTATCTTTTATGAGTACTATTCTAGATAAAAATATTATCTTTTATTTTGCAGATACTATCTTTTCTCCTTGTAACAGCAGCAGCAATCATGTCGATAGGAAACTTTGACAACTCTTTCACAAAGAATTGGCTTAGCTGTTTATGCTGCCATATAGCTGCAAGCAGCCACTGGGATTTTTAAGCCTGACAGGTTAAGGATATATACCTTAATTTCAGGATTTGTAATCACAATACTGGTTATCCCGGTGATCCGTTAGAATTTATGACAAGACAAGTTTTGCTATTAATTTGAAATTCGCCAGGATTTGTGGCCAAATTCTGGTCAATCGACAGGATTTGGCCAGGAATCCTAGCAATTATTGTGACGAGGCACATTTTTCTCGTCAATTTGAAATCCTGGCAATTCGTCGGGATTTTGCTATGTTATGGTGGCCACAAAAACATTTTTAACGGGGTCAAAAATTAAATTGCGGCACTGAAAGATCCTATTTGTGCAAATCTTCCGAAGTTAATTTCAGTAATTTTAAGTATTGTGTCTTGATTCCTGTACAGAGAAAGCAAAGGAAGGAGTATATGGTTTTCAGTTCACTGGCTTCTAGGAGTGACAGTTTCTTTACTGGGAATTATCAACATATATACAGGTTTACAGTCATATCACAGAAGAACTATGAGAAGCACGAGTGTTTGGAACCTGGCTTTTACTGTTGAGATTGTTGTTATCCTCTTCATCTATCTGCTCCAAGAAAAATGGGCCCTATATAAAGCAAACCAGGAGTGATTTAGTCAATGAAACAGCAGCGACAAACGGATTAAGGAATATCTTCAACTGATGAGAAAAATGAATTGTCACTCATGTCATCATCAGAGCCATTACAGAAAAAACAAATCATTTGCCTTTTACTAACATTGAATTCTTTCCAACCTCGTCACAGTTTTAGAAACAAATGAGAGTTTTGTGTGGTATCAATGTAGAGTGTCATATAAGCATATAATACGAGAGAGTTTGTGTACAATCAATGTAAAGCATCATCTACAGCATATAATACGAGACATTTCGTGTACTATCAATGTAGAGCATCATATAATACAAGATATTTTGTGTACTAGTAATGTAGAGCATCATATAGAACCAAACAAACAATATGAGAGATTTGTGTCCACTTTTTCGCCTTACATGTTTTGTCTAAAATTTGCAACTAGGAAAAAGGATAACCCTCTCCATTGGTGAAAAGCTACCTGATGAAGTGTAACAATCATACGTCTGTAATGCATTGTATGTCCCATAATAGGTCCCATTCTTCTACTCTTTCCTGGAAGTCGATGATTACTCATTATATCTGCACTTGATCTGAAGATGCACTAAACAGAACTGGATTCACCATCATGAGAGATTCACAATACACACTGCTTGTTCTAACCAGAAACAGTTCTTGTGGTGACACCTAGAATGACAATGGACACTCAAGAAAGATAAAAATGCCCCCAGTGTATCACCTTTTGTTAAGAATCACTTGTTGCTAATGTTAGACAGTACATATGCGATAATACAAAGTACAGTTAGTCTACAACTCCTAATGACCATTCTTCTCAAGTGTTAACAAGGACTTCAACAAACTTACACAGTTTCACTATATTAGTAACAGAAATATTGAATATATCTGTGAAGTATTTATACAAGTCATGGAAATAACTGCACATAAGCCGTCTCGATTTCAATTCCTAAAGGAACAAGGGGTGGAAGAATGACAAATGCTCCAATTGCAACAAAGAAATAAAGTCATTTCCTCTGAGATACTTCATCCCTGTAGGCTTGTCTTCTGGTGTTTCTTCTTCTGTGAAATAGTTAAGAACTTGGTACTGACCTTCTTCAGATTCTTACTCAAGGGAATGCTGAAGTCATCATCATGATCTCCAACTAACTTAGCGAGCTGATTGCAAATTGTACTTTTATAGAGCTACTATCAGTTTCATATCCTGGTCAAGGATCAAGTGAATAACAGTCATGAATAACTAAAGGGTAATTCGGCACTCAACAGTGACAGCCAAAAGGAAGAAAACATGGGAAGTTAACTTGAAGTCTTGCTATAATTTTTTGAGCAGAGAGGACAATAGGGATAATGAATGGCCAAGATCGACGGTTCGAATTCAGATGTTGACTGGAAAAACAAAATAGGAACTTTTTTCCTAAGGATATTTTTTCAGAGAACATTTTCCTTTTATTCCAAATACACATTTATTATAATAAAATAATGATTCTTCTTGTTTCTTCTCTTTTCAACAGTTTTTGTGATATCTTTGGATCCAGTCCATGTATTACCGCATCACCTTATTTAACAATATCTAAGATCCCAGTTGCCCGTGGTTGTATCTACTCTTTACTTGTTTCCAAGATCAGTTCGTTTGTATACATTAGTGTGAAGTAATTATCATCAACTTGGATGTGACAATATAGGATTATGTATCAGAAAGAAAATATAAGATAAATTATGTTTTGGGCTTATAACTTACTAAGAAGGAGAAGCAAACAAAGTGAATGCTATTGCAAACATAAGGCAAGATATCCGTGCATTACCCATGTTAATTCAAAAAAGAATAAGTACAAGATACTGGTAAAATGACTAAACCTGTCTTGTCCCATATAATCAACTTCAAAAATGTCAGAGTCTAATCCTGATCATAAACACTGACAAAATTCTTCTCTTAGCCAAAACATGCTTTTCCTAGGGTGAGAAATTCCAACCAACTCATTCATCATTCTGTAAAGTAATCCTGAAAAAGAATCAGTCTTGGTATTGAAGGAACCTGCATCTTTGTTATTCCATTTTATGATGATCGACAATGTTGTTCATGATCGAAGATGTTATTGTGTCCATCTATAATGTAACATTAGTTGTAGCTGCTTGCAACCCGTACAAGAGGACTCAGTACTGCACAAGTAGAGAACAGAAGTAAAACCTTCTGGATAATATACACACACTTTTATCAAGCATTTTGAGATGAAGAAGACGAGCTAGCACAAAGGAAGACATACTTTTCATGCACATTACCTTCCCTTGATCAACAAGTTGGTGTTAAAACTTGATTAACTACAATAAACATCTTTCGGTCATACTGCTGTTAACTTCTTCCTCAACCGTATCTATGGAGTACCATGGGTGTGTACTCAGCTAGCATGCAAGACAAGCCTTCCCATGAACCACTCACCTGAAGGATGAGTTCCTTAGAGATCAAAAACTGGACTTTACATGATCTGTGGAGTCTGCACAATGAATTCGTCCAGCAAAACCAAAGGCCTTTATTGTGCAAGAGCACCTTTGATACAGTTTACCCTATACATTCAACTTTGATTTCATGTTGTCATTTGCTGTCACTCTTACCGATTCAAGCATAAAATATCAAAGAATATGACAATATGGCAAGTATCAATCAAACACCAGGAGTATGGTATGTTTTTGTAACTTCAGGTTGATGTCGCCACCAGAATAATTTATTCATCTATCCCAATGAATTTTTCGCTTTTCCTTAGCCCTCTTCTTTAGCACTGGCTTACTCACAGGAAGCTGGCCTAGCAGATGACTCTTAGTTAGACTGGTACTAGTTAGGATATCACATAAGGGGAATCCCATTCTAGGAGTTCTCCAAAGCCCTATCCCATATAAAAGAGAAAAGCTATATTAACGCTCTAGCCCAAGAATAGATCTTATGAAAAGAAAAGAACGATCGTCAGCGGAGATCGCAATACGCAGTTTTTTAGACAGAATCCCCGGCATCAGAGAATTCCAGGGATTTTCTCTATTTAAAGTAGGAGATAGCCGGGTATTCCCACAGAGAAGTCTTGCTCTGGCTTGCCCAATTGAACATAGAGAATGTTGGTTGTCTTACATACACACTGGTGGAATTAAATTTTATTCCGCTTTTCAAAATAGTAAGAGGGGAATTGAGTAAAATATCCTTGTCCGTAGTTCCAGCGGACTCTCTTTTGTCTTGCAAACCCCTTATTCTGTACTCCCCTATTCTTGAAAAGACCGCTATGCACCTTGACTTTTGGCTTTTCGTTCTTTCTGCTGCAGCTGTTTAGCTATATTCGTCTCCTTTTCTTAGTCCCCATCAGGAAAGAAAGCTCTAGAGTTCAAGGCTTCCTTGATTGGTACTACTGGCTTGTCCATCTACTGGGTGAGACTACTCCTACATATTCGGTGCTACGCCCCTATTATCCCGTCCTCGAGACTGAACTAAGGCACATCCCTTCTTTGCTTAGGGTTTGGTTCGGCTTCTGCCGGTCAAAATAAAATACCAGGTTAAAACTAAATGCTTCCCTTCCCATACTTCTTTGACATGCTGAACTCTCATTACTTCATCTGTTTTGAAATTCCCCATTAAGCAACACCCCTTTCTCTAAGTTAGACAGAATTTGATCAATCACCAATAATTATCACAAGAACACTCCCATCAGCAAAAATAAAATCTGTTTTTTCAACAATGGTGGTGCCAACACCAACTTGTTTGGGACTGAGGCATATTAGGTGTTGGTGGTGGTGTATGGGCCAGCTTGTGCACATCTCGACTAATTCACTTGGTACCTGCTGCTTCTCACCAATACATGTACAAGGGTAACTTTGTTCACCAAGCTTAGACAGATGGGAAGAAATCACCTAACAATCTTTCGCCTCTGCAAGGATTTGAAGTTCTGAACCCCTGTTTCCCATGGTCCCTTCAAACTTCATTGACCACTAAGCAAGTGCACAAAATGATGAAATCTGCAGGAGTCTCATAATACTATTTGTCTGCCAACAACTTGGATACATGCTTACATAGGGTTTGATATTCTCAACTCTCCTTACATTCGCCATACTTCTTTTAATTGATGGTGTCATTTGCTGTCATTCTAGCAGATTCAGTCATAAAACGTTAAAGAAATATAGCAAGTAATTCAAACCACACCAAGATTATGGCACACTTTACTGAAATCATGTTGAGGTCCTCACCAGAATACTTGATGCAACACCCTTGCAAACTGCCTCTCTCCTATACTTCAGACATGACATGCTTGAACCTTTTCCATTGCTTCGTCTGTTAATGCCTCATTAAGTAGCATCCCTTTCTTTAAGTTAGACAACATTTGATCTATCACCAGTAATCGTTACATGAACATTTTCCATCAGCAAAATGATGAAATCTGTTGGAGTCTCGTAATACTATTTGTCTACCAACAACTTGTGAAATGTACCTGAAGGCAGAGTGACAGTCCCCACAAACTCGAAGGTTTTTCATTATTCTGATTGGCTTATCTGATATCCGTGTAAGAACAAAAGCAACTGCAAGTCTTTCACTATGATAGCTGAGGAGTTCTTCCTTATTCTCCAGTTCAAGATCATACAAGGCATATTTAATCTGTGGTACATACCCTGCATCCCTAATCCTCTTGTGCAGTTCCTTAAGTTTTTCATAAATTGCATGTTTATCCGGATGTGATTGATCACCAGCTACAAAAACATGAACACCATCTCTCATGCTAACCCAGCTGCATCCAGCTTCTTTCCTTACTGTTGCTTCTCTCATTGCACGCCGAGCCTCTGCCACATCCTCCCACTTCCCTCCTGAAGCATACATATTTGCAAGAAGCACATAATTCACAGCATTATGAGGTTCCAACTCTAAGAGCATGTGAGCAGCCTTCCTACCTAGATCTGTTTTACGACTGCTTGCTCGACCACAGGCTCCAAGCACAGTCCTCCAGATAAGTGCATTGGGCTTTAGTGGCATTTTATTGATGAAGTCCTCCAATTTATTCATCTGCCCTGCTCGTCCCAGGATATCAACCATGCATGAGAAATGCTCAATCCGAGGTGTCAGTCCATATTGATTACTCATGGAATCAAAGTAGTCCATTCCCTGCCCGACAAATCCAACGTGGCTACAAGCTGATAAGACACCAACAAATGTGACATGGTCAGGTGTTTGACCATCCATCTTCATTTTTGTAAAAAGCTCTAGTGCTTTATGTCCGTTTCCATGCCGTGCATAACCAGATATCATTGAGTTCCATGAATATATATTGCGTACAGGCATTAAATCAAAAAACCTTGAAGCATAATCTATTCTTCCACATTTGGCATACATGTCAACAAGAGCACTCCCCACAACAATGTCAGATTCCAAACAGGCTCTGATTGCACAAGCATGAACTTCCATGCCATGCTCCAATGTTGAGATTGAGGCACATGCACTGAGAACAGAGGCAAATGTGAAGCCATCTAATTTCTGACCCTTGTGCAGCATATGCCAGACTAAGTCCATGGCTTTTGGTAAGACCTCATTGTGTAAATATCCAGAGATCATTAAATTCCAACTCACATCATCCTTCCTGTCAGACATCTCAGAAAATATGTTCTCACAGTCATCCATTTCCCCACACTTACCATAGCAAGCAAGAAATGTGTTTTCAATAGAATTAGCATCCATTGCACTATATTTTAGCACCAGAGCATGGATTTGACGAACAAGACCAAGAAGAGAAAGAGATGATATTGCTGAAAGGACATTTATAAATGTCACATTGTTAGGACTCCATCCAGCACACATCATCTGTATGAAGTACTCTATGGCTTCAGAAATAGACGTCTCAGAATCACCTAATGCACCGATAATGGTATTCCATGAAACTAGATCATGTTCTGGCATCAAGGTAAACAATTTCTTGCATTCAGCCACACATCCAGTATCAGCATATAAAGCAAGAAGAGTATTAGACACTGAAACATCAAAATCAAGTCCTAACTTTATCCCTTCACTGTGCAGTTGTTCCCCCAATCTTATCCAATTCAGGCTTCCACAAGAACTTAAAGCACTTATCAGTGAGTAATTTGAAACCATCAGACCTATTCTCCTCATAGATTGGAAGGTTGATATTGCATCTTCAAAACAATCATTTTGATCTAGAGCGGAGATCATAGAGTTCCATGATACTGAATCCTTATTAACCATGAGATGGAAAACAGAATGGGCAATTTGGATTTCACCAAATTTAGAATACATATTAATCAGAGCATTTCCAATAGCAGCCTTGGAGTTGCACAGGCCAGTTCGGATAACATATGCATGTAGCTCCCTGCCTCTTATTTCCCCTTCTTCCAACAAAGAGAATTCAGAAAATGCACTGAAAAGAACCACAAAGGAATCAGGGTTGATTTTAACTAAGTCTCTTATCTCCATGAAAACCTTAGCTGCATCTTCTCCCTGACCAAGTCTCACCAATCCGACCATGAGCCCGTTCAAGGACACTGCATTTCTTGCACCCATCTGTTTGAAAACCTTCAACGCTGTATCAAGAGACCCAAACCTTCCAAAACCACTGAGCAGAGCACTGCCTACATACAAGTCTTCCAAGAGTCCAGACTTTTCAATGTTTGCCAGAAGCTGCTCTAGTAAAAGCAAACCACAATTAATATGATTAGCAGCAGTAGTAATTAAGCTGCCAAAAGTGAACTCAGTTGGTTTAAAATTAAACCCCAAATCCTCTTTTTGCATAAAGGAGAAGAGCTCAAAGGCAGAAACTGTGTCTCGCTGAGAGTAAACTGAAATAATAGAATTGCAAGATACTGAATTCTTATTCTCTATCTCTTCAAAAACACGCCAAGCATAATCACCATTACCTGCACAACTTCCGTACATCGAGATCAAGACATTGGAAACAACTTCATTAGAAGCATGCCCTGTTTTCAAAAGCAAACCATGAATTTGCATCCCCAACCTCAACCCACAAGCACCTAAACCCTGACAAGACCTCAAAGCACTACCACAAGCATAATGATTAGGAATAAACCCGGACGAAACCATTTCTTGGAAAACTCCACATGCCTCATCAGGCATCCCATTTTGTGAATAACCCGTAATCAAACACGCCCACGTAACTAGATTTCTGTTCGGCATTTCATCGAACACATCATGAGCAGAGATCAAATCAGCATTTTTCACATACAAATTAATAAGGGTGTTGCACAAGTACAAATCTTTAACAACCCCATATTTAATAATATCCAAATGGAGTCTTTGGGCATCGTTTTCAGAAAAAGAAAGCAGATATTTTTGCACTAGAAACTCGCACTTATCTGAAACTATAGGAACAGAATAGACTGACTTTTCTGGCAAAACAGCAGCTCCCAAATGTTTTGTATTGCTATTCAAGAGATAAGTGGAGTCTTTGAATTGAAATACTGGTTCTTGGGTTGGAGGAAAAGATATGTTATTTGTTCTAGCGATGGAGGGAAAAACAGAGTGATTTGAGAAAGAGTGAAGAATAGAAGCTGCAACTGTGGTGAAACCGAAAGTAGGATTTGGATTATGATTCAGTAGCTTGTTTCGCGTTTGTATCATTGCTGCCATAAACATGGTCACCGATGATTGAGCTCAAAAAGTTTCTACTGCTACCTCATTTAACCTTGTCGCCATTTCTGCCCCTTTAAAAACTTGCTTTTAGGAAGCAATGCTGA